TTCGGCAGCACGACGTACGTGCCCTTGGGCATCTTGTCCTCGGCCGCCGACGTGCCGCCGCCGCCGTTGCCGAACCCCAGCCTGGCGTGCGGCCCAGGAGGCGACGCTCCAGGGCACGGCGCCCCAGCCGGCCGTCTTGGCGTAGATGCTCTCTTTTCGCGCGAGAAAGTCGGGCACGGGGACGAGGTCGCCGCCGTCGAGGTCTCGCGGACCACGGTGCCGAGGGCCAGCGGGCGGCCGAATTGGCGGCTCTGCAGGTGGGCGGGGAGCGCGTCGTCGACGGTCAGGAGGAGACGCGGCGGGGTGGTGGAGGTGGCGGGGTCGGGGAGCTGGGCGTCCCAGGCGAGGCGGGCGAGGGCGGCGCGCCAGGCCGAGAGGTTGGCGGTGTAGCCGTCCGGGTTGAGGGTGCGCTGGGGGCGAAAGTCGGAGTAGAGGGCTGGAAGACGGGCTTTTCGGAAGGAGGGGTCGTTTGACGTGAGGTAGTCGGCGAGGTCGCCCATGGTGGGCAGGTAGTCTTGACGATGGCAGCGATGGTTGGCTGAGGTAGAGGAAGAAGAATGAAGGTTCGAGGCCGAAGATGTGTTATTTGTTCTGTTTGGTGATGACGTCAGGAATGTCTGGTCCGTCCTTGCAATGGCAGACCTGGAGGTCAACAGACAGAGTCAACAGACAGAGTCAACAGACAGACGATGTCGCTGGCGAAGACAAATGCTGTTCAACATAGAGGCAAGGCCATGGCCTGACTGCAGTTGTAGGTCGCGAAGTTGGGTGTGGTGGGGGTGGCAGTCGAAAGATGCAATGACGGTGACCCCTGTGCCTGCCTAGGTACCTGACCAAAGGTACCTTACCAAAGGTACCTTACCTTACTAGGTAGGCACCTAGGGAGGACGGTACCTGCACATGTCATGTCGCTATAGCGCCTACAGTAGCCTCGTGCTCGCTTATCTGCCTTGTGCGGGCCGATGGCGGCCTCATGTGATTACAAGCACTCACAATGTCCGACACTGGCAAGGTGTGTAACTGACCAGGCATTTAGATGTTTACCTTGCCCTGAATTATCTTTCCGTCATTTTGTTCATACACTTGACGAGCCATGCGACCGCGTAGGTCAAGTGTCGACACGAAACACTGTATGCTGCCGAGGACTGGTCGGCACAGGCCTACTGCCATCGCCATGATGTCACATCAATAGCCTCTGCCTGGTAGCAGCCATGTTCATATGCAGACTCATATACTTTCAAATGAGTGCCTACTCCATCCAATGGCGGCTAAGGTAAGGCAGGTAGGTAAAGTACATTCCCACCGATGAACCTCTAGAACAACGTAGCATCCTGGACGAGACATCTCCTCGGACTATATGATCGCGCTAATCTCATGTTACACAGCCTTCCTATTCCATCAAGCTATTGTCGCTTTCCTATAGACATGTGAAACACGTGTCGTTGATCGTTGTCAACGCTTCGTTTATACACTTTCACGTCTCGCTTCATGGTCCATCGCCTCGCCGACAGCCTCCACAAATCGGTTCGCCGTGTCGAATCCCTCAAAAGGCTCCCCCTCTCTGTTCGTCCCCAATTCCGAAGGATGCAACGTGTGCGGCGTGACGATGGCATGGACGTAGCCCTTCTGGGGGGCCAGATAAAACTCCTTTGAGACCTGGGGTGAAAATTCTTTGCAGTACACCGTCATCGCGTTGTGATTCAGAAGAATGTCCTCGGCCCCGACTGTTGCCATTTCCTTCTTCAGCTTTCGGGCCCTCTGGGCACATGCAAAGGCCCATTCGGTAAACGTATCCCGTCCGACGTATTTGATCAGCATCCAGCATTCGAGAATGGCCCTCGCGTTCCTCGACCCGATCTGCGTCTTGTGGACCGACTGGATGTACTCGACATCGACGGCGACGGCCTCACTGTGCTCTCTGCGCATCAGGATCATGCCCCCCGTGTCCAGCGTGCCGATGAACTTGTGCGTCGAAACGTTGAGCGTGTCGATGCCGAAACCGTCGACGTCAAGCTCAAAGCTCGGCACAATGTCGACGTCGTCGGCATCGCTCATCAGCGCGAGAGGCACTGCGCTGAACGCGCCGTCGACGTGGAAGAAGAAGTCGCTGCGCGGCCGCCCCGAGTCCCGGGCGAGCTCGAGGATCTGCCGGATGTTGTCGCGCCCCTCCTTGACCGTCCCTCCGCAGAGGATGCCCATCCATATCGGGTGGTCGTCGTTCTTCTCAAACGCCTCCCGGAGCGCCGCCATGTCGATCGAGCCGTCATCGTTCTCGTCAATCGTCTGGGCGCGCAGGCCGTTCTGCAAGACGGCCGTGTCAAATGAGTAGTGGGCCGCCTTGCTGAAGAGCATGACCGGATCCGCCCTTCCGCAGCACCTCCCTTGCCCACCCGTCGCCGCCCAGATGTTCCCCGCTGCTGCCCGCTGGCGTCGATGTAGCCCCAGTAGTTGTCCTCGCCGCCGGCGCAGTGGAAGAGCTCCATGAAGAACAGCATGACTTCGAACTCGTAGCAGAAGGCCTCGGGCGCGAAACGCCCTCCCTCGGCCCAGTTGCCGACGTTGTGCACGCCGTAGTCGGCCGCTGTCTTCATGAGCTCCTGGATCTTGGGGTGCCTGATCCAGTTGCGCGGATACCCCACGGCTTTTCGTATCGTCTTATCCCATTGTCCGATGGTCTCCGCGAAGACGTCTTCGAATTCGCCCTTATCGGCTGGCTTGGAAAAGTCGATGCCACATGAGAAAGGCATGGTCCGGCGGTCTCCTAGTGTTTCTGTAAAGACTATGAGTCCGATTCGAGACTATATCTTGTATGCGCAGTGATGGCTGGGTTGTAGGGTCGTAGAGTCGTTAGCTGTATGTCGAGTATTTGTCTAGTTGAAAATATAGTAAAAAGGAGACGGTGGCAGGACCGGGGGCACAACAACAGCGACAGCGTTCCGTTTAATCCAAGGTGGAAGGCTGGTAACTAATAGAGCACACCGACTACTTGCGGTGTGGCTGAAGAATATTTAGATGATATCACGAGTGGCCTCCGTGACGAAAAGGCTAGTCGCTTCCATCTCATCTTAGGTTGTACGGTTTGCGTTTGGCAACTTGGCTAAGACCATGGACTCATGATAGCAAAGAGAACCACGGGAATGAGACACTGAAGGCGGCCGCAACAGCAGTATGTGCCATGATGCGCATACCGGAACCGTGGCGAAAGACTCTGACGCCAGTCGTTTCGAGCCTCAAGTGGTATAGATTTCCTGTTCCGAGCTATGTCCAGTAATCCCCCCCATGATGACAAGCAGAGGTGATTTTAGGTTCTCTCGTCGTCCCAGATCTCGGTCCGAACGACTACGTGACCGAGGTAATGCCGCAAGTCTCCGTCACGTCGTCGCTTCAAGCGAAGGACGTTGTCTATCACCGGTGCTCGAGATATACAGAGCCCATGTAAATGGCAAAAGATTGCTGGAATCACTGTCAACGCATTCATCAATACAGTTCGGACCGGCACCCGGCCTAAAACTCCACAGTCTCCTATCCGGCACGTGAGGAATCGTGTAGGGATCAAATGTTCTTGGTTGAACCACGGGCATTGAGACTTGGGTTGTCGGGAATCTGAACTGTCTCTTGGGATTCGGCTGCGCTAGCGCTCAAGCGTCATGATAGCGGTGAAGGATCTAGACAGGTTCTGGATTAATAAGACTGCCTACTGTGGCATTGCAATGCTAGTCATTTCATATTGTAAGCATCATGATGTGCAACTTGGCTAAAGAAGCCAGAAGGTGCCCAAAGTCGGGGGCCTCTGAAACGGAATTCGAAAGTATGTCTGTAGCTCTTTTTCCGATGCAACGTTCACCCTGTTGATCTCTTCCGTTTTCAATGAGGCCGGATAAAAACCTTACGGCGGCCAGATAATTCACTCAACGCAAAGCCTGACCAAGTCGTATAACCCGCTCGAGATGATCAATGCAAGAACGCAGGTTTAGTAGAGCCAACAGGATATCCCCAACCTCAGTACCTCATCCAGTTAACGGCCATAGCAACCTGATGAAACCTGATATTCCTTTTTCTCCGATCAGCCGTGAGATGCGTGGCCCGCGGGCCGACCCTTTGGCGGCTTTCCGGGGTCCGTGACAGTATCATCGTCGCCACCCAATGTCTTGAATTTTCTACTCAGGGTTTCGCCACACTGCAGCGTGTCCTTAATTATCCTGGTGATCAACAGGGTATCTTGACGTACTGGGTCTCATATCTAGCGGGGTAAGGAGCTTCAAAGTTGACGCTATGTCAATGAGCTGATCCAGAAAGCCACCGCCCGAAAGAATGCGGGGAGCGGGAAATCGGAAATCAGGAGACTAGTGTTAGCAGAGGATTCATAACAGTCTGCCTAGATCACCTCATCTACATGCCTGCGTGTTGGGTCGAGGTTCGCCGCTTACGCCGGTTCAAGGTCATCATACCCTGCAAACTTACCCCTAAAACTCACTTGGAGCCCCTTGACACTGCCAAGGGGACATCCCATCACGAATCATTTACCATTAGTGAGAAGGTTTGCCAAATACTTCTAACGTAGAGTTATGCAGGGCACTGTTACACGCTCACAGCCATTAAGATAATGACGATGATCTGGTTCGAAGCCGGGACGTCCTCATGCAAGGCACCAACCGCCCGCACCAGCAACTTATGCGGTTCGACGTGTACTCAGGTGGTAGCAATCCTTAGTTCCGCTCCATGATTAATTCGGTGTCAAGTTGCTCAATGCGTAGCACGTGAGGTAGGAGCCTCTCTCCAGTGAAGGGGCAGGATGATCTCGAAGGGTCTATCGAAATCTGCGTGCAGGTCTCAGGGCTATCTAGTGCGGTGGGCAAGCCTACGGGTGTTGCAGATCGGGGGGCTGTCACATGAATAGCGAGAGATAATGCATATAGAGAATTTGCTTATTCCCTTTTCAATTTAAGGCTCTCTATATAATGCCGAGCTGAAGGAACAACATGCCTGCATCTTACCCGAGATGATTTGCTTGCTTTGCGTATCATGAAAGAATGTATCATGTAAATGATGTATGACGTTGATGCGCGTCGAAGGCATGTAGTGCTGAAGGTGTGTTGCATGATTAAATATATCGGATCATTTACACGTTACATTATTGAAATGTCGTGCATGCTATTGAAATGCCATGTTATTGAAATATCATGTCGATGTAAGATAATGTTAAGGCATGTCGAGGGCATGTCGCATTGAGCGCATATCCTGTTACATGGAAGTGAATTCTCTCCTTTGCTGTGTTAAGCGATTTCAAAGCCTCATGCAGTGGCATGCATTCATGCATTGGCTTGCATTGATGAGCTGCATTTCATGAAGCCCCAGGAGCTGGAAACCATGACGATACCGGAGAAGACAACATGTGACATGGAAGTAAGCAACAGGCAGCAGCCGCTTTTAGACGATGCATTTTCGCCCAAGGACAGCCAAATTCCAGTTGCATACTTCAATGCCTTTGAAAGAGGTCCTCTCCAGGATGTAATGAACGGAAAACCCCATCCGCAGCGGAACTCCTCAAGATGCTGAGTAACAAGATGCTGAGTAACAACACTGCTCACACGTCAGACGGCTTGACTCATCGCCCCGATCCGTCTTCTTCCTGAGGGCTGTCGATGCCTTCGAGTCCAGGCATGCCGTACTCATAGCAATGATTTTTGACGATGTGAAACTCCAGTCAAGGCACGTATTTGAAGAGGCAAAGACCCGAGACACCGCAACACATTTGTAACCCAAAAGTCCAACAAAACTAACATCATGGCTACTCCCGTAAACCCCCTTCCCGTGACCATGAGGGTCGTTCACCAATCCGACCCTCACAGCACCAACCTCATCATGACCGAGGGTCCAATTCCCCGCCCTCAAGGCCCCTCCGATCTGCTCATCAAGGTCGTCGCGACCTCCCCTTGCCTGGGCGAGCTCCACTGGGTCGCCGCCATGCCTAATTTCTTCCCCGCCGACAAGGAGCCGGTGCCAGGCCAAGACGTGACCGGCACAGTCGTTGAGGCCGCCACCGAATCGGGTTTCCACCCCGGCGACGACGTCTTCGGCCGCATCTCGGCGACGAGCCCCGGCGGCTGTCGCGAGTACGCCCTCGTGAAGAGGGAAGAGATGGCCTTGAAACCAGCCGGCCTGTCCTGGGAGGAAGCCGCCGCCACGCCGCTCTCAGCCCTCACAGCCTGGCAGGCCCTGTTCACGCAAGGTCTCCTCGACAAGGCTGCCGTTTTCGGAGACGACGAGGCCAGGGCCCAAAACGGCCGCGTCGCAATCTTTATTGCTGGTGCCGGCACCAGCGTCGGAACGTGGGCGGTGCAATTTGCCGCCCTCGCCGGGGCGGGAAAGGTTGTGGCGCTCTGCTCGGGGCCCAAGGCAGACTTGATGACGGGTTTCGGTGTGACAGATGTGGTAGATTATACCAAGACTCACGTCGAGGCCTGGGTCGGTGAATCTCCAGACAGGGAGGTTGACCTTGTTGTGGACTGCGTCGGCGGTGCCTCTATGGGTGCTCTCTGGAGCGTGGTCAAAAACGGCGGGACTTTCCTTAGCATTTGCGCGGACCCAGACAGCGTCAAGCCGGCTCAGAACAGCAAGAAGCTGGAGAAAGCGCAATGGTTCATCGTCGAGAGCTTGGGTGAGCAGCTGGGTGACATTGCCCAACTGGTGGAAGCAGGCAGGGCAAGGCCGGTGATTGACAGCGTTGTTCGCTTTGAACAATTTCAGGAGGCCTTCGAGAAGGTCGAGAGCCGGAAGACAAAGGGCAAGGTGATTATCAGGGTTGCGCCATGAGACTGACTCATTCGACCGTAGATGTCCCCTTCCATGTAATGACTCCTCTACAGGGTTTCAGGAGTTGATATGAACCGACCGTTACCGTGACCAAGCCCTCGAAATGTTGACCATGTGTAGCAATAGTGCCCTGCGTCTGGGTGAGCAGGGTCTCCATTGGTACTCGACCCAAATGTCTGGGTCAATGGCCACAGACATGCACCGCCACGGGGAGGCATTACAAAGGGGCACAACGCCTTTGAACCAAAGAATGCGGATCATTTTTTTGATTCAGTGGCACGGTCTCACCCTCGGCGCAAGATAAGGGAGCCAGATTGTGTAAAGCCCTTGGTCACTCAATTTAGGCTTGGTAGACGCGGCCGGATGGACAACACACCGAGCTCAACAAGTGACACAACATGACCGAGCATAGCAAGTACCCAGATCCAGGATAGCTTGCTAGCTGAACCCCTGAATCTCAGTATTCGCACATCAGCGAACCACCGAGAATGGTATCACGCCAGAGATTACGTTGTATTCGACAGGGTACCCCGGCTCCATGCTGTACGTCTATCCGCCCTCAAATCCCCCTTGAGTCGACGTGTCTCCCTCCCTCTTCTCGCCCAGTGCGACGACCTCATGCAGCGGCGCCGTCTCCAAGCTCGCCAGCACATTAACCCCCTGCCGCGCCATGACGCTCCCACGCTTGGCCCGCATGGTGCCCTGCTGCTGCAGCGGCTCGCTCTCCTCATCCACAAGGACCTCGACCTCGTCCTCCGGCGCCTGTCCATCCGGCCCAGCGGGCTCGGCAGGCTCTAACCTAGTGTCGAGCTGCCTCTGCAGTCCCAGGACGAATTCCTGCGCGAGCGTAAACTTGCTGACGCCATTCTGATTCGGCACCTCAGAGTACAGCCGTTGCGCCTCATTGAGGCTGCGCTGGGCCTGGATGTATTTGCCCTGCAAGAGCCACGCCTCGGCGGCGAGGACGGCCCAGATGGCCGCCTTGCGCGTGCGGTTGCCCCACCCCACGGAGCCGAGGCCCGTCTTGGACGCGTAGCAGATGGCCAGTCGCTCCTTGAGGAGACCATCGCCGATGGGCCCCGAGATGCCCGAGTCGAGGAGCTTGGCGCCCCATTTCGCTGCCTCGTCTATGCTGCTGCCGCCCCGGAGACGAAGAAGTTCGAGCGCGAGGGGTGAGGGGATCGGAGAGCGCCAAAGGGCGCGCTCCATCGCGTCGAGTAGGAGTAGAAGGCGGGCCTCGAGCATCTGGTCGAGAGTCTCGGCGCGGGACTTGGTCGACATGCTCTGAGGCATGATGAGAAGACTGAGGGCCGCCATCTCGTTTGTCGCGGCGTGGTACTTCCATGCCTTGGCGTCGCTAAAGTCGGACCGCAGAAGGTCGTAGGTCGAGTGCGCCAGCTTCCAGTCGCGCAGCATGAAGGCATAGTCCGCCAGCTTGCGCATGATGGCTTCGGGTGCATCGGGTCGGTAGTAGCCCTGTGACTCGAAGCTGCTCGTGCTGCCGCTCCCACCCACTGATGTCCTCGAGCTGCCGCCGAAGCCCCCCCATTTTCGCGACAGGTTCATGAAGCGTCCTGCGATGCCGCGCCGCCTTGACGCTACCTGGTCGTTCCAGACTGATACGTGACGCTCCATCGTGGGGATGATGGACTGCGTGACCATTTCGCGAACAAATGTCCGGATCGCAGTAGCATCCGACTCAAAGATGTGCCTCGTCGGGTCCTCGAAGTCTTCTTGCTCGTCACTCCTCTTGATGTCTGCCAGTTCCTCCTCGGCGGTCATCCAGTCACTCCTTGGCAGCGGTATACTGTCGTCGTCCGTCTCTGCACTCTGACTACTTCGAAGCCGCAACAGGTGGCAGTGCAGACCAAGGTGGCGCTTTCATCTGATCGAATAACGCCATCGATCGTGTGATATCGTCGTTCTCCTCGTCGTGAACCAGTACATAGTACCGAAGGTAGTCGCCATCAACCCAGCCTGGCAGTTGCTTGCCACCGTCGCGCGTCTCATTGTACAGTGTCCTCAGCTCCTCGATCGGGACTTGCTTCGCGAGCTGATAGCAATGACGCAAGCAATGGGGTGCGAGAAGGTTTCATGCGGCGAAATGGGGATGCCGGACAGTAACCTCCGCAGATAGAGCGAGTAGTAAGGCGACGTCGCTTCAATGTCGACTCCCAGGCTCGTCAGGTGTCCGTGATGAGGCATACTCAGGAGTGAATACATATAGTTGCGCAGGTGGCGCTCGACAACGGCCTCGACATCGTCCAGCTTCTTCTTCTCTCTGGCCGCGCTCTCGGAAAGCCCGTTCGCAGTCGTCGGCGCACTAGCATCCGGGGCCTCAATGTTGTCGCCGAACGGCACGAATCGAATCGAGTAGTCCTCCCACGCGCGGCTCGAGCCGTTGCTGTCCCTGATGGTGATCTTGCCTTGCACCCTCTCGCCAAAAGGTCGCAAAAGCTCCCATAGTCCGTTCTTGAATCCCTTGTCGTTCGCAAAGTTGGTCGTCTCTTGCGAGGTGTAGATGGCGATGTGGGGCACGTAGGACTGGAGCAACAGGTTCAGCGGATCACCCGGGCTGTCTGCCGCGCTATCAATGAGCGACCTGGCCCCGGAGCCGCTAAAGATAGGACCCGAGAGGTTCCTGGCTGGCGAGCCACCCCGTCCGACGGGCGACTCGGATCGCGACCCTGGTGGCGTCTGTGTCGAGGCGAAGAGCGAGGCAGCCGAGGGATTGGATCTCCGATACGGCAGACCCGTTTCATTCTGTGCGAGCGGGTGTCCCTCAAAGGCGTTCTGCCGCTTAGGCAGCCTCAGAGCGGAGGCCGCTGTTGGCAGGGTCTGGATCGATTCGGAGGGCGAGACATCTCGGTCTGGCGATTGCAGGTCAGGAGACTGCATCGAGGGAATCGGAGGTTGGCGAGGTGGCCAACCTATGGCCTACGCTGGCTTGTTGCCAGGAGAAAGGAGAGTGATATCCAGGTCGAGTGGTAGTGCTGAATGGATCGTGGGATCTGACCTCGCTCAAGCCATGGGGGTGGAAAGAGAGGCTGATGTTGAACGGTCGATGGAGGCGATGGTATGTCGGAAAGTGGGCTCCTGAATTACTCGAACAAATACAATTAAAGACGCTCGCTAGAGGGGTCGTCGAATCGAAAGGCCGTCTAGATCAACCGCTTCATCATCAGTGGTCTGGTGAATACAAGGCCAGCCGACTCGTTGAACATGTGGATGCTTGGGCGCCATCACCACTACGAAATCGCTTAACTGCCTGGCGAAGCGCCCCGCTACATGCAAAACGTGGGGGCTTTCTGTCCCTGCATTTCGTCACTGAAGTGCTTCTACAAGGTACTCCAAGCTAAAGCTGCGAATGTCGATCCTCGACAGCCAAGTCTCCATCTGCAGTCAACGCTTTAGCGCTTTCGAACCCGAACCGCTCCAGAAAGCATACCGCCAACATGCCGTCCGACCTATCCAGCTACCTTGCAAAAAACTACCTAGTAGCCGACCCAAAGCCGACCAAGAAGCGCAAGCGCAAGCAAGCAGCCGAAGGCCTCATCATAGCCGATGACGACGACGCCTCCTGGGCCAGGCCACAAGCCTCAGCCAACGACGATGTGGACGGACCAGCAACAGTAGACGGCTCCTCCGCCGAGTTTCGCCGCACAAAAAAGTCCAACTGGAAATCCATCTCCGGGGCGCCCACTAGCACACCA